CCATTGGAAACCAAAAGATATTTACATTATGATTCATAACAGTAGCAAAATTACAGTTGTAGAGTAGCAATGAAAATAATTTTATGGTTGGGGGTCACCACAACTTGAGGAACTGTATTAAGGGGTCACGGCATTAGGAAGGTTGAGAACCACTGATCTACAGAGTATTCTGAGTGATCTCCTCAGCTATCTTCCAATTCGCTAATATCTTTCATCTAGACCCAACGTTCAAGCTATTCACTGAGTTTTTAATTTCAATGACGATGCTTTCATTTCTTGTCTTATAATTTCTATTCATGCCTTGTTTCTCAGAACATTTGAAAACACTTATTTTGAAGTATCTTGAAGTACCTTTCAGCAATTGAGTAGTATTCCTGCCATCTGAGGTGCAAATTTTCTCATTTGATGTGCAATTTGCTTCTTTACATGGTCTGTCATGTTAAATTTTTCATTAAAGTCTTTCGTGTGTTCTGTGAAGCATCCCTCCTGAATAGTTTCAAGTTTCCTTCTACAAGGTCACACTGGTTCTACAAGGGTTGGACCATTTTGAAGATAATTTCTCAGCTGAACAGTCTTCGGACACAGAGATAGGGTTAACTAAGGTCCTACTCTCATGTGCAGCCAAGGGGTTCCAACTTCTTTGTGACTCTTTCCTGCCCAATGTCCAGAGTAGACATCAAATTTCCCTGTACTTGGCAAGCAGGGGTATTCTAGGCCCCACTTCACAGTTGGGCAGCCCTGCCTGACTCCCATCTTCACACAGGTAGGTCTGTTCTGATTTTATGATTATAAACTCCAGGCTCCAGCGAGGTTCGCACACCCCAGTGAGCTACTTAGACTCCTCTCACCATTTAGTTTTGAATACCTTCTTTATTTCTACTACCTGAGCATTTTGTTCACTTTGTTCTAAGCCTGGCTAAATATCCCACAGTGCACTTGTAATAATTTATCTAGTTTTCACTCCATGTGTTTAAAGTGAGAAAGGAAGTCCTTTTACGTTAGCAAAACTTTGACAACTAAAAACCAAAGACAAGGACAGTTAAAGAGAGATAAATTATAAGACAATCATGACTATGGACATAGATTTTAAAATCTTAAGTGAAAAATTAACAACCTGAGGGCAGCAATGTATTTTTAAAAATCATCACAACTAAGCGGGGTTTACTTCAGGAATGCAAGATTGGCTTAACAGTAGAATACAGAATAATATAATGCAGGGTCAGCAAACTTTAGCTAGGAAATACTTTGTGTGCCACCTCTGTCATATATTCTTCTTCGGTTCATTTTTTGCTTTTTTTTTAAGATTTTATTGGGGAATTGGAGGATGGGAACAGCGCTGGGGAATTGGGGAAGGGGAACAGACAAGTTGCTGTCCTTTTGTTCTTCAGTCTAGTTGTGGAGGACGTCGCTTCACTGGCCCATGTTGGTATTATCATTGCGCTCTTCCCAGGTGAGGCAGTCACTCGCCAGCCATTGGACAGCTGCTCATGGCGGCTCACGCCAGTTCACGCCAGCTGCCGGCCAGCCCCACTGCAGCCTACGCAACCCACGGCAGCACAGCTCCAGGTCGAGCTGTTGTTCACCTTCTTAGCTACAGAGGGCGCAGCATCACTGGCCCTCATGTGGGATCTGAACCGGGGCCCTGCTGCTCAGAGCTGGCATCCCAAGCCAACTCCTAACAAACGCACCACTTAGCCGGCCCTGGTTTTTTTTTTGTTTGTTGCTTATCATCCTTTAAACATGTTAAAACCACTCTTAGCTCACTGGCCATACAAATACAGGTTGTGGGCCACAGTTTGCCAATCTCTGATATAAGTCAACATTTTAACAGAATAAGAGAAAAAAATCATAACTATCTCAATATACACATAAAATGTATATGATAATATCCAACATTCACTCATGATTTTTTTTTAAATAATACATAATCTAGGAAGATTAACTCCCTTAACCCAAAAAAGATGATCAACTAAAAACCTGTAGCAAACTTCCTCCTTAACAGAGAAATGTTAGAAAGATGATCTTTAAGACGGGGAACAAGATAAGGATGCCAACTGTCCACTTCTACTTAACATTGTATCCTAGTCAGTGTAGTAAGGAAGGAAAAAAAAATTAAAGGATTAAGATTTGAAAAGGAGAGGCAAAACTCAATAATATTATGGCCTAATTAGAAAACCATACAAAGTACAGATAAAGTATTATTGGAATTGATAAGAGAGTTTAGCAATGTGGATGACTATAAGATTAATATATCTGTCTATTTATTAATGTGCCAGTTACTTGGTTGATGTTAGTCCGTGACGGCTCCTGAAGGAACTAAATGAGGCAAGCTTTCTTTCAGAGAAAATTTTACATTAGCTTCTGTCTAGATATTACTGACCTGAGGTTATCCCATTCAGGTTATTAGGCAATTCCTTAATAAGGGTGGCTCAGGTTCAAGGCCTATGTGCTGGTGGAGCCCAAAGCTTAGTCTCCCAGTTCCAGCACTGGATTTGGGGTACCTACAGGGTAAGCCCAGGATGTGTTCACAGTCCCAACTTTGATTTCCACTTGTTGCCGTTTGTCAGTGTTACTGTTTGTTCTACTTTTGTTCTGTGAGATGTCCTTTACTCTTTAATGCACTGCTACAATACAGGCAGTGTCTTATCCAAAATCTAGCTGTATCGTAAAGGAAGGCCATTCTGTGCATCAAGTCCAAAGTATGATTTATAAAAACTATTGCATACAGAAAAATGATTAAAAACAAACCCCAAATGTTAACAGTGGTTGTTTTCAGATGGTAACTTGTTTTCCCTTCTATATTTTCCTATCTTCTATTCATGATTTTATTTTTGTTTTTATAAAGAAGAACAAGGAATACCATTTATTTTTTTAAAAGAAGTTATGCAAAAAACACATTAAAAAACTAATTCTTTAAGTATTATTGAAAAACAAAAGAATATGCTTGTTTTTCAAACAGTATCTTAATTAATTCTCATAAAAATTCTGTAACTTTAAAGTATCATCATCCCTAATTTTGCAGAAGAGGAAACTGAGGCTCCAAAAGGTTAAGTTATTTGCCCAAGTGACAAACCTGGAATTTGAATTCAGAAATACTTGTTCCAAGGCCGGTGCTTCTTCTACTGAATCATGCTGCCTCCCACAAGAGAGCATTTTCACATTACCACCTGCTAGTTCTAATTAAGAGATAGTAATTAAACAATTCTCCGCTCCTGACAACAATATTTAAACTACTGCCATTTTAAGGAAATTAATACAAACAGCTTTTTATTCGCTGGAAGATACTATAACTAAACAAACTACATGCTATTACAAAGAGAAAAGACTGCTTTTTCAAAGCATCGTTAATTACATTATCTATTAATGAAGCACAAAAATGGTGTTCAATGGCCAATTACAAAAATGTTCAACTTGACTAGTAATCAAAGAAATACAAAGAGTAACAATGACATATTGATCAAATTGGCAAAAAATTTTTTAAATAGTAACAGCCAGGTTGGGTAAAAAGTGAAATCCTCATACATTTTAGGTGAGAATGTAACTGGTAAAAATTTCCTGTAGGCAAATTCATAATATTTACACTTTAAAACATATGTAGCTTTTGACCTAGTAATTCTCATCTAGGAATTCATCCTGAGGAAACAATCACAGATTTATAAAGATTTAGCTACAGAGTTGCTCATCTTAGAAGTACTTACAATAGCTAAACAGAAAAAAAAAAAAGGAAAAAAGAAAGAAAAAAATACTGGAATGAATTTAAATCTACAATAATAAGAAATTAGGTTAATACTTTTTAATAAATTTTTCTAAAAACTAAATTCCAGTTTCGATATTTTATAGGCCAGGAGACCCTGAGCAAATCCATTCAACTGTCAATTTCATCAAAAAAACAACAGAACAATAATAGTACCTGTTTCACAGAGATAATTTAAGAACGATATGAAATAATTCATCTAGAGACTGCAGCGTACAGCCTGGCATGTGTGCGCTGTCAATCGGTAAGACACACAATGTGGTTAGGAAGGTAGATGTCAATCTGACTCCCTCGGTCTATCACTTACTAATGGTTGTGCACGTTACATAACCTCTTTGTATCTGTTTTTTCAGCTGCACATTGAGAATAATCCCATAGAGTCTGTATGAGGTTTATATGAGACACTTATTTATAAAGTATTTAGCATAGTGCCTGGTGAACAAGAAGCTCTCAATAAATTTTGACGATTTTATTGGTAGTATTAGTATTTAGCTACTAGAATAAGTATAGACTGTTTGTATAATAAATTATATACTAACTCTGAGTTGCTTACTGTTATTAGGTTTGATGCCCAATATAAAAGCTATGTTATATCATTTTGGTTTTCCCAGCATTAGTTGTGCCATTCCAGTGTGTATAACCTCACTGGTAAAAACTCTGTAAGTATTATAATCATAAACTAGAATTCTATTATATTTTAGAGCCAACATTTCCAAAAGATACCATAGTCATAAATCCATTAATGAAATTTTCTAATTGACAACTATTTTATTGTCATTTCTCTTTTCCCTTCTGAATACCTTTCCCACAAATAGATGACAGGAAGAACAACTCCTAACTAAATCTCCTTCATCCCCAAACACACACTTATATAAGAATCAGAGAGATTCAGATCCAAAACCTTTCAAAATCCAAAAGATACATGGAATTTCAAGGTCTGAAGGGAACAAAACAAGAGAGGGGAAAAAAACACTAAAAAAGGAAGAAATAAGAAAGATAAATGAAACAAAGAAAATTATTACTGAAAAATCTCTCCACTTTGTTTTCAAGTAGCAAGTAAAACCTACTTTTACATTTTCAATACACATGAATCCTGCTTGGAATCGAGGTCCCAGAACCATATTTCATTCTATCCTTATAAGCGCTTATAAAATAAAAATATCTCCCTACTCAGGCGATATACATGATTCCCTCAAGGACGCACACCTAGAAGACACAAACCATTACGCAAGGAATGTTTTCCCACCTTCACAGCTTCTCCCAGAGTTTGGTTTTTGTCAGCTTCCTCACTGGAATGCAGTTCAAGTCTATAGTTCAACTCCTGTAGTTGTTGTGCCTGTTCATTCAATAGCATTTGTGCCTGCTGTTCCCGAAGTAATGCATTATTCAGTTCTTCACAGGCACTTTCAAACTTCTCATGGGTGATCAATTTCTGAAATAAGGGGAAAAAATTGAATTATCAGCTAACTGCATTTTGTACCATTTCATCTTCAGAACTGTATTTGCTAACATAAAGAGCATAATACATATATTTGTAAATGTCTGATACACAACAAAAAGTACTATTTGTTTTTCTTAATTTCATAAGTCAAGATAATAAACACGACTTGGTTTTTAAAGCACAACAGCCATACTTCCAAAGTTACCATAGTTGGTCAAATAAAATCTTGGGAAACTTATTTCAAGTCCTAAATACATCCAACAAAGCTCCATATAAATCGTGATACAAGGGCATGTTTTATAAAGATTACAATTGTAGGAATTAAAGCTTTTAACAAGTTCCTATGCTTTTCAATGATTACCTAAAAGTCTGTGTTCAGTGTATGTTACCCTCCAGGTCTCCCTGGTCAAACATCCCCTCCTTGGAAAATCCTTAACAGACCATACTGCCTGAATCCCACCACAACTCTCATTACCATATAATCTTCTTTTATTTTTTTCACAGTCATCATCATTACCTAAATTCATCTCATATAGTTGTTCACTTTTGTTGTCACCTATCCGCACACTGCCACTAACCACACATTTACGGATGTGAGTTCCACTGGGCGGGGACCTCATTCAGCTGCTCACCCAACACACAGAGGAGTGCCTGCCGCTCAGTAGGTGTTCAAGAGATATTTGTGGAATTAAAAAGAATATTCAGGTATAAACATCTGCCAATAAAACTATGCACCATAATATACAACATGGTTTTTACAATATCATGGCTGCTTGGGAGAGCAGAGCGCTCTGCTCCGGAATAAATAATGACAGTTCTAGACAAGGGCCATCCTTTCAGGGGTATGGAATCCAAGGCAGAGCACACTTGCTTTCTGTCCTGTTCAAAACATATAAACAACTGGAAATTAGTTACAACAAACAAGAGACATCTTCATCTTGAGGAACAAAGAACAGGAAGGTTTCACAAAAAGGTAACTTGAGAAACGTATGTGGAAAACTAAAGGAAACCAAGCAAGTCACTTAATCACAGTAAGGTATATATGTATATCTATTTAAGATTGATAACTTTCCCATTGTTAAAAAGAATTCAAGGTGGATTAATATGATTAACCACAAATATAAAGCAAATTGATTTAAAATTTTAAAAAATCTAGCAGGTGGTGGGAGGTAAAAAACAAACAAACATTGATTCTAGGCATCTGAAATGGTAAATTATTACAGTTCAATGTGCACTTTACCTCTGAGTTTTCTGACAAATGAGACAAAAATAGAAAAGTACTTATAGTTTCTTCTTGGGCCAACAATAGCAAGTGTGTGGCCCATCTACAAAGAAAACTTTTGCTGGAACTAAGTTTGAGGACAAATTTATTACATTGGTCATTCTATATTATAATATATAAGTAGTCAGTTTTACTTTGGCATCAGGTACCTGGTCAGCTACTTCCCGGAAGCAACTGTCTTTTGCTATTATTTGCCTTTTCAAAGGTGTATATAATGGATTCCTCAATACTGATTAAGTTTCAAAAGGCAACAGTATAGCATAAAAATAGATTCCTAATGATTAACCTCTAAGTTAATACAAAGTAATGAGAATGATCACAGGGCACACAGGAAAGCTGCCTCATTTACTGACAGTCAACTAGTAAAGGTGTATCTAATACATCACTGACACAGGTACAGTGTTTAGACTTTAGGGAGCACAATTTTTTAATCCCTCTTAACAGCTGCCTCTCCACATTGTCTTATGACAAATAAACCTTTCACTTTCAAAATATGAACTATAACAACCTCCTCGTGGCACTCCAGCTCCATTTCAACTTCTTAATATCCCTCTATTCCCTAACGCCATAGCACCCTTCAGGGTCATGTGAACAAATTTTGTACTCCTTCTACCTTTTATTGCTTATGTTATTTTCAATTATCGCTCCTTGCCATCAGACCATTCTGTCCTGGGCAATCTACTTGACCTCTATAAATCAAGATCCCTGCCATTTTGCAGAACCTCTTCCCACTCCTCCAGAATTTCTCATTTACCTAAAAACTTAGCTAATTTTAGCCTCTCTCTTGTCCAACTATCCCTCCCAGAAACTCCCTCAATTCTGTTCAGTCTTCTGCAAGCAAATAGGATCAAACAAGTATAGCAATGTAAAATGAGAAAGATATTGTGTGTGAAAGCAGTTATAAGGAGTTAATAGACCAAAATAAGATCATGGGCATTAGCTGTTAAAGAGCAACTGTCCGCAGATGAACATGGTATTCCAAAACAAGGAAAGCACTGAATAGCTTTGGCCAGGCTGAATGTTTCCTTTTATGTTACAATTTTAGACCAACCCAAGCAAGCTGTTTTATTTTCCTCCTGCATACATCACTTGAAACCAATGGAAGGCACACACCCCAAATTTTTTTAGAGGAAAATACCATCATTTTTTTCTATCTATTATGCTTTTAATAAAATCATCCTTTATTAATACAGCTATTAACCACTGTTAGTGAAGTGGTTAACCACCACAGTGAACATTAACTGCTTTGTGAAGTGGTTAAAAGTATGAGTTTTGGAGCCTGACTATCATGGTTCAAATCCTGTCATTTTCACTTACTAACTATGTAATTTGGGCAAGTTACTTAGCTGCTCTGTGCTCCATATTTCTCATCTGTAAAGTAAAGATATAATAACATTGAACTGTTATTGATATGAGAGGACAAAATGAATCAACACCCTGAAGTGCTGAGGGTCGGTGACTGATACATGGTCAATGTCATCAAACGTTAGAAATCATCACTCTATAACCGTACACTTGACAGTTGTGTGTCAAAATATAAAAATTACATATTTCATTCCCTCAATTTTACTTTAAGTAATCCAATTTTTATTTCTACACTTCAGTGGAAGTAATTCACACTAAACATTTTCTGAAACACAACCTTAGCTTTTGCTGCAAGCCAGTTATTCAACAAAAGTCCTTATAAGAGGATCCTATCACCTTCTAGCAACTTTTCTTCAAACTCTTATAACCTCTCTAAATTCTAGAAACGGAGTCCTGACTACTTCCAAACAAATGAAAGATAAGATGTTTACTTGTTTTCGTGAATTTCCTACGAACGACGAAATCATATTGTGTGGAATACCTAGAATTCTTCATACATATTCCAAGGAGCAGCATATATAAAGAATCTTCCGGGCCGGCCGAGTGGCTCAGTTGGTTAAGAGCTCGCTCAAGAGTTTGAGCTCTGAGCAACAGCGGTTCGAGTCCAGCCCGAGCTGAGCAGCCGCTGAGNTGAGCAACAGCGGTTCGAGTCCAGCCCGAGCTGAGCAGCCGCTGAGCTGCCAACAGGTAGCAGGATGGCTCAGCTAAAAAAAAAAAAAAGAAAAAAGAATCTTCCAATTTTCATGAAAACCCACTACTAGCTAAACCTCATTATAGTTTACTATATTCTAAATCTCAAATTGCATCAATGGCTCTCTCTTTCCATTTCAGCAGACCATCTCAAGGTCCAAAATTTAGTTAGTATATACAATTGAAAGCAAACCAAAAAGAGAGAGACAAGAGAGAGAGAGAGAGGGAGAGAGAGAGAGAGAGACTCCAAAAGAATTGGCTTTTAAAAGAATACACAACAGCTCTTTATGATAAACAAGTTTGGGGAAAAAATTAAATGTGTATGAATAGAGGAACAGTCAAATTTTGATACATCCATATGATAGAATAGTATTTATATATCTAAAATGAAATTAATAATAAATGACAGAAAAATATTAACAGTACCTTAACTAAACATATATATATTTGCAAATTGCATGTGCAAAACCATTCCAAACTACAACTGTGCATAAGGGCATGCATATATACAGAGAAAAACGTAGGGAACAAAATGCATGCACACTTCAAAAGTGATTGGTTCTGGGTTGTTAAGATTAAAGTAATTTGAACTTTCTTGTTGATGCTTTTCTTTTTATTTATGACTATCATGTATTACTCTTATAATTAGAAAAAAAATGTTGATAACAGGTACATACGATGTTAGAGGAATAATAAATTGGGGGAAAGGGTTATCACTTTGTGAGGGGTGTAAATGTCTAACTATTACATTGTTTTGTACACCTGAAACTAATAAAAAAAACGTTGAAGCAGCTTATAAATTTTTCTTCTCTGAGCAAAAACCGAAGAAAGTGAGGAAAAATTTGTGTTTTCTTTAGACATTCACCAAAAAGAAAACTATTACTTATCTCTATCAAAAGAATAACTCATGATTAGTTGACCTGATTAATTTATAAGAGCTCTTCACCCTTTGAAGGTATAGCTATTTGAAATAATAATTAACATTAGCAATTTACATTATCATTGGATTAATAACTAAACTACTATCTGATGCTATCTGCATTACAACAAATGTTAAAACTGCAAATTCCAAATTAACCAAAACATACATTTAAACTGAAGCCAAACTTGCAAAATTTAGGTTTCCCAAAGAACGAGGTACTCAAAGTAGCTTGTCATTAGGTTTAAGGAACAAATTTTGTATTTATGTGTATATTATAATAGCTAGCATCAGCTGTATACAGCTTTGAAGTTTTAGAGCAATCTTTTAACTCTGTATTGCTATATCCACATTAAGAACAATGTTAATAACTAACCCAACTGCAAATAGAATACGTGGATATCTGTATTTTGTGGTGCTTCATATATTTACATATTTCAGTCTTGATCTAATGTTATTTGGCTTATAGCCTTCGTTTTCTCAGCTATCTTCTGTTTTCTTAATACATATAAATCCTTGATGGAAGTTAGACAAAATGAACATTTCTTTGGAAAAGCAACTTGATTTCATACTAAATAATCTAATTTACTCAAAATATTCAATATAAAATGAAAAGAGAAAATGCCACCCTCCACTCCAAATATCTGGCTCCATTGGCGGCATTTGACTTATTCTTATACATGGAGGGGCTTATTTTCTATAGCAGTCAAGCTATCCTAACTGAATCATTTTCTATACTTTCAGTCAGAGTATACATTTTAACAGGGTTATGAGTTGTGCTGACACAGTCAGGATTCCTAAGCATTGGGCATAACTTTTTTTAATTGAGATATAATTGACATACAACACTGTACTTTAAGGTGTACAACGTGATAAATTTATATATCACAATATATTTACCACCATAGTATTAGCTACCACCTGTACCATGTCACATAGTTATCATTTCTTTTTTGTAGTGAGAACATTTAAGATCTAATTTCTTAGCAACTTTGAAGTATATGTACTTATTGGGGCATTTTAGAAGGGAAGTGTTCTGAAGAAAAAGAAATCTTCTTAATGGGACTTTTGAATTATTCAAAAAAAACTAACAATAATAGGTAAAACAAAACAAATACACACACACACACACACACACACAGTGCCAAAAAAATGTATACACATATTAAGAAAGGAAAAAAAAACTATTAAAATTGTAATACTCAATATATACCAGTAACAAACAATAAATACAAGTCATGTTTGATTTCTGCAATTACAAGAGGTGCTCAAAGTAGTTACCATCAGTGTCCAGATGCTTCTGATTACAGTGAACTACTGCTTGAGCAACACTGACCAAAGGGTCCACTTGTATACATTTTCTTGGCATACTTGGTATACACACGAATATTCAGAGGAGAGTTCACCAAAGCCATAATTCTTTAAATCATATACTTACACACTGCTTAAATTCATTTAACTGCATTTGGAGACACTGGGCTTTGTCAAGCTCCTTTTTCATTTCATTGGCATTTCGTTTGAATTCGGTGACCTCCAAGCGCAGCGAGCGGCGCTCCACTTCCGCTGCATGCAGTCTTTGTGTAAATCCGAATATTTGCTTCTGTAATGATGCCGTGCTTTTCTGTTGTTAAACAATGGCAGTATTACAAGAAGTAATAACAGACTTACTAATCAACAGCATCACCGTTTTACCAAATTAAATGCAACTTACATTATACAGAGAATGCCAGCTATTGCTGAAACTTACAGGTGAAAATTATTTTTTACATGACCAATAATTTGGATTATATGAAATGAACAACTGAAGAAAAGAAATAACCTAGATGGCTAGAAGAGAGAACTGACAATCGTTTACGTCTCATACAATTCTGTTGCAATATTCTTATAGAGAACAGTCAATTCAGAACTCACACCACAACTTTTGTATTTTGATATTTGGACACAATTGGAAGTGCTTTCATTTATTGTATTAAAAGATTACATGAAACCTAAAGGAAACACAGACACATTCATGTACAACTAACTTAAACTACAAATAAATCTGATTTCGAATTAAATTCATAAGTCCTAAAGTCCCTATTTAATAAAGTTTTATACATACCAAAATGGGTACGTGACCACGCAGTCCGTATTTCAGGGCCAGTGTGTTTACTTTATGAAGGCCACGAGCCAGCCTCTGAACCAAGGAGTCTTTTTCTACATATGTAATACTCCTGCTGCTGCTGTGCAAAGGTAAACTCTCCATCGCTAAACTAATTTTATCCATGAGTTTTGCAAAAGAATTCTTGGCCGCACCTACAAGTAAATGTCCACAGATTCTGGAATTTGGATCTTCAAAGAAAAAGACAAAGACAGGAAAGTGTGAATTGTCTCTTGTTCATTTCACATTTCCAATCACAACACAATGCTAGTATTTTCTCAATTACATAATTCCCATTACCTGTAGTAAATCATTCAAAAAGTGCCCTCCTACATCAGTTTTCACTGGAAAGAATGCAGAAAGTAATTCACCTACTAAACAATTATTTAAAGAAAATCTGCATGTACATCTAGTATGTCATTCACACTGAATGTTATGATACTAAAAATTTATCATCAGTCTTTGTTTTAAAACATAATATAAATTCATTTTCTATTTGCAACTACCAAAGCTTGTTACCTGAGTGTCATACTATTTATATTCTCAGGCAAGAAAACATAATTTGCCTTATTCCAAGGCAATTAAAATTTTACAACTACAATTATTTATTTCCCCACAGGATTTCTGTAATCATCCCTCTCATACTTGTATAATGGACCTAAGGTCCCAGCATATCCAACACGGCCTGCTTATGGGTAGATTCATCAGGTCTGTAATTAATAATTGTGTTTAATGTTGATAAATAAAATTGTCAGTGCTCTTTCTACTAATTGGTATTCCAGATAATAGTTAATAGGTTTGTTTATGCCTTAATAAAAGTCGTGTAATTTAGTTTTCCCACTGCGAGGCAGGTCTTCATCTGTCATTACTTGTCTTACGATACTACCCATGCAAAATGACAAGCATGGAGAGGTTATTTAAATTCAGTAGTAGACCATTCTACATTTCAAGATTTTTTGATTTTGGCGTTAATTTAAATTCTGTATTTACATCAGCACAAAAAAAGCATACGTGGTCTGTTTATCCAACAAAAAATTGTTTTGTAATTCTAAGAATATGTATGGTTTAAAAGTAGTGCAACATTGACTGAGAAGCCGATTAAGCAGTGTTTTCTGTCATAAAGAACCATTTCATCGAAGTTCTATGTTCAAAAATTGGGGAATCATTTTATTTCTTTTACTCCTCAATGAAAGAAAGGTAAATTTTTAAATTTACGCAGCAATCAGAATTGGAAAAACATATTGCTTAGAAGTTACACATAAAATAGAAATTAATTGGTCAAAAGCATAGTATCTTCCATTTAGAATTGATTGCTATCAATTACTGACACACTGACTTCTAAGAATATAATGTAGGTAATATCAGTTTAATTCTATATGCCTCTCATACACATACTCTCTGAGAATCCCATGGACAGAACACAGACAAGGTATAATTAAAATACACAGTTCCTTCATTAACAGATTCCTTAAATAAATCATGAAGGAAAAAGAATTTAGTAGCTTCATATGCCAATAAACATATAATGCACACAACACTGAGTTAAAAGAATTACTAAACATTTAAAAGGTTACTGTTGAATAAATGAACAAACAGCAAAATTTATTTTACTTATAACTTTTAATATAATACGTTATTCCAAAGTCAAATATATGTGTGCCCTGTTTCTCCCACTGGTTTGCAACTCCTTAATTGACTTTTTTCATCTTAGTAAACTCTTTTTATAAACTTTATAAGAGTTTACTTAGTAAACTCTTAGTAAACTGCACCACCCTAGCATATGTTCTTACATGTTTGTTGGGTTAATTATACATATTTTTTACTTCCATAGCAGCTACAATAATGCTGAATATAAGAATGCATTCAGTAATAGCAAGATAAATTAATTAATGTTAACTTTTATGGTATGTCCAAAGTTATTGTTTAGTTTTTTTTATTTATTTTTTATTTTTTTAAGATTTTTTTAATTGGGAAATTAGGGGAGGGGAACAGCGTTGGGGAATCGGAGAAGGAGAACAGACAAGTCACTGTCCTTCTGTTCTTCAGTCTAGTTGTGGAGGACGTCACTTCACTGGCCCATGTTGGTATTAACATTGTGCTCTTCCTGGGTGAGGCAGATCGGTTGCCAGTCTCTGGATGGCCGCTCACGGCAGCGCTTGGCAGCTCATGCTGGCTGCCGGCCACTAATGCTGACTGCCAGCCACTCATGCTAGCTCATGGCAGCCCACTGCAGCCTATGCCATCGCCAGCAACTCATGGCAGCCCAGCTCCAGGTTGAGCTGTTGTTCACCATCTTAGCTGTAGAGGGTGCAGTGTCACTGGCTCTAATGTGGGATCTGAAACGGGGTCCTGCTGCTCAGAGCTGGCATCCCAAGCCAACTCTTAACCAACGTGCCACTCAGCTGGCCCAAAGTTATTGTTTTTAAATAACAAGATAAAAGCTCATTGTTTTAGAAAATTTTCAGGAATATAAAAGTAATTAAATCTTCACAAAGAGCCACTAAAAGCAAAAATCAACTACAATTAAATATTTTGAGCAGTGGACTTTTTTCCTCTATCACAGAAATGTGTATGTGTAGATATTAACCACTCTGAAAGGTAAAATTAACTGACAATATAAATCTACAAGGTATGCTTCTGAATTTTCAAAAAGTGCAAAAGAGGTATACACTCTAAGTTCCTTGACTGCTGATTCTCCATGAATTACAGAAAGAACACTAAATAATTTATGTTTTGATGAGTAAGAAGTGTTTTACAACATATAATTCACATTACAGAGAATAGAGTACAATTAACTCAATATTAAATAAATGAAAAAAATTCCTCTAGTGACATAATTGTAAAATTATTTGTATAGTGATACATAAAAAAGGAAAAAAAGTCACTAAAGTTTTTCATGTCAAACTTGTCTAGACTGTTTAAATGTTTGACTTGCTACATTTAACAAATTCTTGTTTATGTAAACATTTGTTAATCACTTTCCCTTATTTAATAGTATGTGTCTTTCATGAAAGAAGAGAATCCTATGTTCTGCCATTACTTTTTCCAACAGAAGGAGCAATATCCTTCATCTAAGATTAAAACTTCAAGACAAATTCATAAATTGTTTCAACCAGTAGATCTAAACCTGCGGGCTACAGACCTCAGGGTATGAGAGAAGGGAGGCTGAAAAATTGTTACAAGCATTTCACCATTTTTAACTGCAGCAACTATTGCCATTTTTATCTTCATTAAGCCCGAAAATATATATACAGTATGAATAATACATGCTCATGATGTTGTAATAAAATTAGAAGTCCATTAAAACATTATAGAAGTCAACTGATACTAAAATTACAGCTATCGTGGTGAGACAGCCGTCTACAATATGTTTTCTTATTAACATGGAGTCTTCACACTCAGAAAGATTGAGAACCACTCCTTCAATGAAAAAAGGGAAAAATGAGTAATTATTTAATTAATATGTATGTAAATATGTAATTGTTCAATTATTTAATTTAATAATAATGTTAGTCATGAATGTAATATTAACAGTAATTAGTAATATAATAATTAACATGAATAATAATGTTAGAAATGTGAATGTTAATAATGTTAACTGCATTAAATTCCAACTCAGTTCTACATATTTGGGAAAATTTTATCATCCCAGACATCTCCATTTCCCTTACCCTCTCCCCACATCCTGTCAATATTTCTCCAATCTGTTCGATATTTTCTGTGATCATAGCCTTATCTCATCTATTTTCTTACAAGAGTCTCCCTACTCTTCTTCAGTCTTTCCCCTCTTCAGTCCATCCCCCAGTGTAGATAAAGTGATTCTAAAACACAAATAGGATCTTGACACAATCTCTGCTTTTAAGCCTGCATGACTCTGTTCAGATCTAAGAAAAAATTTCAAACTCCTTAAAACATGTTTATGTGTATACGTGTTTGTACACATTTACGTGAGATTTGTGGAAATCATCAAAATGTTAAGAATGATTAGGGATGGCGTTTAGGGTGACTCTTCTTTCTTCTGTGCAGGTTTCTGTACAGTGTGAAGCTTTTACATCAAGCATAAGCACTTTTACAGAAATAATAAAACTATTTTTAAAAGCACTATGCACTGCCTTCCTCATTTATTCATTAAACTGCTAACAATAGAGTGGCTCATATGTATAAAGACATAGGGTTAAGCAAAGGGAATAGGAGACCTAAAACACTGATTAAGAATCAATAGCTCTTTTTTCTATCAGTATTACTTCTAAATAATACTACAGATATAAATCCCCAATAATAATAAAAACATATCTTGACTCAAATGAAATTTGGGGGAATGATTATCTAAGGCAGGGGTTCTTGGTCATTTTGGGGCTATGTATTCCTTTGGTAGTCTGGTGGAACCTACGGATCTTCTTCTCAGAATAATACTTTTAAATGCATAACTCAAAATATGTATTCTGCCATAAGAAAAGATGAAATAGTGCCATTTGCGACAACATGGATGGGTCTTGAGATTATTATGCTAAATGAAATAAGTCAGACCGAAAAAGTCGAGAACCATATGATTTCACTGATATGTGGGATATAAAACTGAAAACAACAAAGGAACAAGACAAACAAATAAAGAAACAAAAACTCATAGACACAGACAATAGATTAGAGGTTACCAGGGGATAGGGGGGCAGGGGAGGTGATAGATGAGGGTAAACGGGGTCAAATACATGGTGATGGAAGGGGAACTGACTCTGGGTGGTGAACACACAATGTGATATATAGATGATGTATTACAGAATTGTACACTTGAAACCGATGTAACTTTACTAATAATTGTCACCCCAATAAGCTTTAAATATGTGTGTGTGTGTGTGTGTGTGTGTGTGTGTGTGTGTGTGTGTGTAGGATTACAAAGAAAGCAAATTTTATTGAAATGCAGTTACCAAGCATTTTAAGTTTATCAGTGTAGTAAATATAAGACAATACCCTTACAACATAGACGAATTAAAATTAATTTTTTAAAAGACATAGCACAGTGCAAGTTGTTGCTTAGCCAAACTAAGAACATTGAACAATGAAGTGATCTTCAAGAAGGCATCATGTAGGTCATGTTGGACATCAAATTTTTTTTATATCCAAAAGTAATGAAAATCCTGATTCACAAATATGCACTGCTGCAAACGTAATTAAAGCTTCTATGGTTCACTTTATA